AATATGGAAATACTTAAATTCTTCAACATTACCCAATTACTGAATATCTAGAAAATCTATTTTAATCTCAGGGCTTGCAAAGATGATCTTGAAAATATAATATAATTTTGTGCATTAACCTTTACTAATAATTAACTTAAAACACACAGTTAATAAAGAAGAGACTATTAAAATGGGTTATAGGATTGTCTTAGTGACCAGTATGTAAACAGTCTCAACTCTGGAGCAGTAATAAACATTCTCAGGGACTAGTTAACCATTGCCAACCACCATCTCTAATCATTTAGTTATCTTCAGAATAAAAAAAGGTTCTAAAATGTTGTGGATAACCTTTATGTTTACCTTTCATCTATTCAGAACTCTGTTATCTAGATTCACCTATTTTAGACTCATACATTACTAAAATAGATTCAAAATAAGGCTTCTGATGAGAACCTTGAATTGTACCTTATTTGTAAATAAGTGCCATTAGAGACAAAGTACTGCATGACTACAGTTCCTCAGTTAGAAGAAATGTCACACACTCTTCTGCTCAAGCTGTCCTTAGCTATATTTTTTTAAAGTTGTTAAGAACCAGCTCCGAACAAAATTAAAGTAGAAGAAAAAAATTTCACTTTTGTAGAAGGTGGGTCAAGTTCTAGGAGATTTAAGTGCAATAGGAAAGTTAAAGTTCTGGGGGTCTGGTTACTACATATAACAATGTACTGAATGGTGTCAAACGCAGTATGGAATAAAGCTTGCAATTTCTCTTTTTCAGTCCAAGTTTAAAGGAAGAAGTGTTTCTGATACATCTCTTGAATCTTATGCAGTACATTTAATTATAAACTAGTATTTATTACCTCAGTATCATGGTGGAAGGGATCCTTTTTGATCTTACCTTCAACTGCAGCATGTCAGAGAATCCTATTCATTTTCTGCTGGGCACCTTATAGTCAGCTGAACCTTTATTCTTGAATCCCTAAGGCACTTCTTTAAACAGGTAGCAAAAGTATGCAGGTATGCTGTCCTACAGCTGGAATAAATTAGGTGTACATGGAAATCCCACCTGTGGACTTAATCATTTGCCTGTAGTTTACATATCCTCCTCCTTCATTTGCACTTTGTGGAAAAGCAGATACGTACATCGCTAATTTGATCTGCCTAAGCTTAAGGACATGCACATGCTTTTAAAGTGCATAAAGCTCTGTGTATGGCTTTCATGGGGCCATTGCAAAAGGAGTCAGAATTTGCCACAAAATGTGTTTCCACGTAGCAATAGGCATGAAGGCACTACTGAAACAATATTCACTGTGATACTAAAATTTAATAAAGATGAAAAATGCTTTGATTTCTTCTCAGTGATCCGTATCATTATTTAGCATGGAATATTCATCTGTCAAAATATTCAGCAGTAAGGTTGCCTGTGAAAGAAGCAGGCTGTTGCTTTCTCTGCAAGAACGAGATAGCTGCGACTTCTGCTTCATACTTACTGCTCACCTTCACTGCACTTGCAGCATCCATTTTATTTGTAATGCAAGTATCTAATATGCAACTCAGGAAGCATCTTCTGCTTAGTTATTGTGGGTCTCAGGAAAGCTGTCTAGCCCCAGCTCTCAATCACTTGAAGCAAGATATTCTCGCTGCTAGCTTTGATCTCCCTATTCTTCCAAAAGAAAAATTGAAAGTGCTGTTACAAAAAGACTAAACTGCATTAAACTGAATCAAAGAAACTGTCAGCTTTACTACTTACTAGAAAAAGACCACGAAAGCAATATTTCTACCTAAGTTATGTTTAGACTGATCCAGGTGTTGAGCAGTTCTAACAAGAGTCAAATTCAACTCCCTAATTTAGGAGATTTCAAACTCCAATGATGCAAATCTCACAAGGACAGACAAACTCAAAAAGGGCCCATCTGCTCTGCTGGAAATCACTTTGCACATTTACCACTACCTTGTTGGAAATTTACCAGCTTCGGTCATGCCTGAACCAAACCACAGAAAGAAGTCCCTTCTTTTCTAGAGAGAAACCTATAAGGAAGGTGAAGATGTAGCAGGATTCAAAATGAAAATTCACAAAATTTGCCTTCCTGTCCCCTTCTATGATCACCCCTCCACCTCCACTGAATTTACAGTCCTTTGATTTAAGGTTCTGATCTACAGCTTTTGCTCACCTCGTTCTATAATTGTATGAAAATTAATTTGGGGCCTGAAACAATCCACACCATGGTTGGCAGAAGCCTTTCTGTTTGACTTAGACAGTGGAATGTGCCTTCCAAGTATGAAAATACTCGGAGGAATTTCCAGGAAAGATAACACAAAGCTTTCCTAACAAAAATCTCACAAGATAAATTATTGTTTAAAACCTTCATCTGTCTTTGACTCAAAATCCAGGGGTGTTAGAAGGAGAGATATTTGTGATTCATGAATTCAAGACTCTTTCATCATTAACATATGAATGACCTGCTCTGTCCAGACTCCCAGCTGAGGATTTTTTTTTTAATTAGTAAAAAAAAAAAAAAACGAGACAGAACCCAGTACACTGGAACTCAACTAGATTTTTACCTTCTTCAGCCATAAAGGACTGGGAGACAGACATTTTTTGCTGCTTGCCTGAATTAAATTGGGCCTCCTGAGATGCATATGAAGCAATTTAAAAAAAGAAAAACACTGTTAACTGAATTTACTCAATCATCAGTCTGAAATAAACCTTATTTACTTTATTCATCTATTACACTAATATAATCTTTCACATTTTAATCAGGAAAAAAAAAAGACATTTAATTAGTCTCACACAACCAAACCCTGGAAAAGCCTCCCCCAGCTAAACATTCAGCAAGGCCACTGTTTTGCAGTCTCACCGCAGAGAGTCTTGTATGCTTTAATGCTTCCCTTGGTCTAAACAAGCTGCAGCCTAGGTTTATTAATTCAGCTCCCTAGCACCTTTCCAAGGCAGGGATAGGCACTCTTACCACAATTTCATACAAAGGGGACCTTTTGGCTCAGCTGTCTTATGACGCCAGAACTGGCATAACTCTCCTCACCCAAATCCATCCTCAAATTTCCTACAGGCTGAGAACAAACACTCGCTAAGCATTCCTGAGTTGAGGGCGCTCCGGGTTTGCAGTTCATTTCTTTAAGAAATTGTGATAGTTGAAGATGGACACTAGAGCTTGTGAAAACAAAACAAAAAAGCCAATATCATATCATAACATCAACATTTTACAGATCTAGATATAAAAATGAAAAAAACTGCATATGCGCACTTGCCATGCTTACCCCCTACCTTTTTCGTGATGTCTGAGCAAGAACTCCAGGAACATTCTGCTACCAAGTTGTTTAGACTAAGACTCAAAGATGCTCAGCTCCCTGTGTCTCTTATATTCAGTTTCTTCCACTTCAAGGTGCTGAGGCTGAGCAGGACACTTTTGTGATAGCACGGTCTGGGTTCTGCTCAAATTTCCTGCAACTGCCTTCTCCGTCTTTCTCCTCCTACTTCCTTCACACTCTGTTTTAAGACTGACCTTTTTTTGTCCTGTTTGGAGACCCCAGACACTTCCTGCTCCCAGCCTCCTGTAGAAATTAAAGAAATTAAATTTTCACCTAGAACACAACTATCCCATTGCCCCAGGGTATTTTCCATGGGATGGGAACTGGTGGGTCTTAATGGCTTTTCAGTGCTTTTGACGTTGAGGAGTGTTGGAGAGTTTTGACATCATGAAGCACACTATATACCAAGTCATTTCTATGATAAAGCTATTTCACCATTTCATTCTGATCCACACGCATACACAGACCAAGTCTGTAAATCTTTGCCTCTTTTTTTTTTTTTTTTTCTTTCTTCAAGCTTTCAGGATTTAATTTCACCTTTGTGGAAATAAGTAATGTGAACAGTCAGCTTGCAAAGCCTAAAGCACAGGTTTAACTTTTTAATGTTTAATCTTCATACAGCAGGGCATTATAGCAGCAATACTGCAAAAAACTGATAATTTCTGATTAAATTCTTTCATCTCAAAGCATACCATTTGATTTTTACAGGAATTATATTGCAACAATACACTTCTGAATCACAGATTCTATGCTTTCAACTATCAGATAATACAGTCCAAAAAAAGTAGTATCCACTACTTTTTACAGGTTTCCCAAAGGACTTGTTTTGGAAGAAAGCCAGAAGTTTACCCCAAAACGTTCAGGTTTTTTTCCACCACAAAACAAGGAGTTTTTATTCAAATGTTCCCTTCTTTTATACATGTGCAGGCTAAAGGCTGTGTCATGGCATCGTCAGATATCTTAACACCGTAACACACAATTATTGAAAAGTTTGTTGATCAGTGTGTGAATTCTTATCTCATTTTCTTTTAACACGCCCCTTAAATAGAATTTTAGCATTCTCTTATGAGAAAAAGAAACAAAAATCTAGGAAAATGAAATAGGTCATTAGAAAGTTACTTGAGCAGTCCTCCAGCAGCAACCTGCAGGCATAAAGGAGAACTCATTGTCAAATATTGTCAAGTATGATTTATGAAACCTTGTTAAATTTACTTAACATAACTTAGAGGCGGACTAGTACAGTAATATCCTCTTTAACATAAACCCTTATGGAATATAGTGCATCCTTTATACAACAAAAAAGACTAATTTAGCTTGTCACAACACAGAATTGAATTAATGTGGAAGTCAAAAGGCTCTCATTTGTGCTATTAAGTACAAATATTGGGTGATCTCTTTCTACCATTCAAAAGGTTTTTCTTGCTTTGCCATGCAAAAATTACTGATTTAAGTGTGCATGCAAGAGAGAATTACTGTAATCAAATGAACATAGTTCCACCACAGAAAAATCTACTATACATAGTGACATTTGAGAGCAGCTTTTTTTTGTTACATAGATCTGTATTCATTAGGCAATTTGTACTACAAAATTTCAGTTCATTAAAGAGCATTACTTTTTGGCCGGTTTTTTTGGTCTGCATGTGACTATTCTCTTGTTTTACTAAGAACTGGTAGCATTCCGTCTGGCCTACAGATGCAAATTCTCCTCTGCTCCACTCATTTTACCTCTTTTTGCTTCTTACAGACCAGCTGTTAACAGCTGAAAAGACTACATGTAAAATGTACCTATATGTACATAAACATACACACACACGTATATGTAGCTGTTCTATATCCTTTTCCTCAGCCTAGACTGGCAGGTGGTCATGAAGAACGGTGGGAGATTCTTGTGCAGAATGCAAGACTTCTTGCTGTTGTGTAGCAAAATTAATAAATACCTGTAAGACACAAAAGAGTAGGACCTGCAAAATAACAGTACTTGAACTGAAACTTTGGAGACATAGCTAGAGTTTTTCTTTCCTGACACAAAAAAGTATAATAATTTATGTTGATGGAACCCCTCTAGAGATACATTCTGTAATCTTTATAAATAAACCCTCTTCACCTTTCCAGCTGATGCAGTGGTTGATGAAATACAAAAACAATGGTAAAATGAATTACTAATAGTATACAAAAAGTCTATTTTACTGTTACACAAGTTATTGGTTAGCAATTTTTTTTCTCCACATTGAAAAGACACACAGTAGGACCTTGAGCATGGTGTTTCGATCAGTCACCATCCCACTTATCAGGGTCCAGACACCTTTTTAAAGGTGAAAGTATACTTCTGAACTCTGCGCAGTGATGGTTCAACAACAGTAATTCAGGTGCCTCTGTGCCTCTCTGATATATATATTTTTAAATAGACCTTACTACAGAAAGGCTTGTTTGCTTTTTAATCACAGAACTATTTGACAGCAAGGAATGGAGAGAAAAAGATGACTAATATTAATTCAAGTAATTATATTCATATGCAAACAAACTTGAGATGCATAATAAGAGTCTTTCTTATTCAGGAGAACTATTTTCCTGGTAAAAATTGACACTCAGTCAGGGAGCGGAAACAATAGTAGGTGACAGAGGTGATGAATCACCATGAATAATGGAGAGGAAATAAGCTTGAATGAACAATTCACGAACAATCCTTAAGCTGAAATTACCTTATATACAGTCGTTCAGCGAATAGATAGTTTACAAGCAGTTCATAGATTAGTACAAATCAGAATATTTCATTAATGATTTGCACATGGGGAAAAGGCATAAGTACATGCCACATATCATATATAACTAATATTTTGACCACATGTGACTCTCAGTTTTTAGACTGCATAATGAGAACTTGCATGCAAGGATGCTCTGACACATCACAGAAATCCAGAAATCCCATCATTGCCGTTGTTCTCTTCTACTTTGTGCCCAAAGAGGATTTCAGAGCTATTGGTGCCGGGGTCTCTTCTGTCTGCTCGTGCATTTCTGATATGCCTTAATGCATAGTATAACACTTACTGCAAAAGGCAGGCACCAAAGGAAAATATCCTATAAGTTTAAGGTTTACTGTAACTTACAGAGAACGGTTCAGCCTTTTCAAGGACATTGCCAAGATCTCAGCTTTTCAAACGTGGAGGAGGTAGTTCACAGCCCCACCTTCTCATCCCCCACAGATCTAGATGCATCTAAGCATAGTACAAACATGTGGCTTCACATGCTGCTTTTAACTGCTCACCCCAGTTTCTGCCAGTGTAAAAGGGTTAGGGATCACGAAACTACTGTGTCTGCCCGAGATGTCCCAGAACTACAGCTTTATCACATATATTTGGTTAGCTCCAGCAAATCAGTATTCTACTGCAACGTATAATTACGTTAACATAGCACGTTTAGAAAAAGAAAAGAAACAATACCTGCTCTAAAGTGGTTTGGCTGATGGAGTAGTGCTTGATTTGGAGGAAAGCTTTGTGATTCTCTAGGACTCTGAAGAGCTCTGCTAAGCATCCCTGACTTCGTGGTACATGGTACTCAAGCAGATTAAGACGCTGTCCCTTAAAATGATAAAAACAACGAAAACATAAATGAATGCATATAAAGATGAAGTTATACTTTTTTATAACTAATTTGGTTTCAGTAGGCAGATTCATTGCAGATGAACATGGAAAATATGGATTTTTAAACCAGAATAAATTTTGTCTGCATTAGCAACACAATGAAACGTTTACTGTTCGTACTCAGAACACATGCATTTGGTACATGTTCTGAGATGGCACTTTGTTAATCTCATGAAAGATATATAAATTTAGGACAATTTTATGGTATAGGTTTTTAATTCACCTGGTTTATCCCTATCACAAAGTAGTCTGGGAAAATATAAGGCAACAAAGCAAAGTTTACCTTATTTACTTATCGGTATATTTTACACACACGCACACACACACTCTCTAAATATATACAATTCTAGGTTACAAAGAAAAAAAAAATACTAGATTCCCACATCGTCAACAAGTAACTTGAATCTAAGAAAATGAAGGTCTCTGTAAATCTGTAAGCTTATTTTGAATTTTTATACATCATAAGATTGCCTCTGATACTTGAACTGAAATAGCACAGAAATACAGGAAAACAAAACAAATGTATATGGCCATGGGCTAAGGTGTAAAAGAATTTTAATAAGTGTATTCTCTTCAGTAGGATCCTCTCTCACCTTTTCTCTTTTTTTTCTTTTTAAACCTTATTTCAGTCCAAGAAGAATACTCCTCTCAATTCTATGCATTTGCTGGTAAGCTTCCTGGGCAAAAAAAAGTCCTAATAAATACGTTAGGGTTTGTCCTGATATGGCCTATACATATTTATGTGTATATATAGGTATGCATATACACAGAGAGAGTATGTGTTTGTGTATAATATATACTTATAAATGCATGCAAACACACATATATATACAAATACACAGGTAGGCACATATCAACAATAGTCATAGGCTTGCATGACTTTTTTCCTAAGCACAGGCAGAATAAAACAAATGAGTTAAGCCTTCAAAAGCCTTCCTTGGAATCTAATTACTACAGCTTGTTTGTAGGGCTCCATATCAAATAAAACAATCCCAGCAAAGAGCATGACAGTTGCCATCTATGAACCTTATCGGAAAGCCGTTTGCTGTCAAAGCAAATGCTCTCAGCGACTGCAGTGCATTCCTAGTTCAGGTGACCACAAAGGAAAGTTCAACCGGGTCAACAATAAAAGTAAAAGGAAATTGGTACTCAGAGAAAAGGCCTTTTTGTTTATGTTGCCTAAATGGCTATTTGGATTTGGATGCTATTAATTTGATCATTATCACAAGTTAGTTTTAAACGAATTGCTTAACAGGAAAGTAAAAGGGATAATCATACTTACTTTTTCAGAAAAAAACGGCCAAATCAATGTATTAAAAAGTACATCTTTTGTTCTCATTATCCCATATTTAATTCTGTCATAGAATAAATACTACGATGAGGAATTTTGGCTGTACCTTAAAATGTGTTCCAGGAAAATGCAGTTGTAGACAGTCCAAAATGACCCTCTGATCGTTTATTTCTTTGCTAAGCCAAACCTTGACAGAATAGCCATCTCCAAATCTGAGAATAATACACAGAAACTTAGATCCATTTGTCTATACCATGAAGACAGAAGAACATCTGTTTCAATTGATTTTCCTATAACAATTATGTCAACTAACATTATGTATTATCACTGGCATTTTGGTATTATACTACCAAACAGTAGTCACTGATTTCAGTGAGAAAGTTGTTCAATTAATGGTAACAGGAACAAACAAAACAACCTTGTTTTCCTTACACATTGTTTTAGTTACTATAGTTCATATATTCTTATATAAAGTACCTAAGTTAACTAAAGTATGTTTCAACTAAGGTATTGCTTAGAATAGTTAAGTAAAATGAACTGCGAAGACCACCAGTCTCAAATACAGAAAAAAAGAAAACCTTAACTTTAGCTCTTTTAGCGAGCAAAAACGAGAACGTAACACTGCATTTTCAAACCTCTTGACAAAGCAGCACTGCTTTTATTTCAGCAACTGTGAGCAAAACTGTGTTTCACAGACACATAAGCAAAGTAGAGGGGTATTTAGGGAGGTGGAGAAGTTGACAAGTTTTCTCTAGCGCTATAGCTACACAGTCTGTCTCAGAATTTAGGAAATCTATTTCTCTCTCTCAAAATACAGGTGATAAAGTCCAACACAGGCAAGCTAATTTGCACGTTAGTTACTAGATTCACCCGCTCCTAATATTTAGCTGGGGAAGTTGCAATAAACCAATAAACATTGAAACGGCAACCGTGTTCTCACGCGTATCGCTCAAGCGGCTGAAGCCATGCGGCCCCCGGTTCCCAGGGCGAGGTGCGCCCCACGTTGGGACCTGCTGCTTCTGCGTCCTCCCCTCCCAGCCCTCCTTCCCCTGCTGGGCTGGCCCAGCTCCGCTCCGCTCCCTCCCTTCTGGTTCACCTTTCCACATGTTTGCGGACCAAAAAAGAGCAGCAGCAGCCAAGTTGGGGGAGCTCTGCTCTTCCCCACGGCAGCGCTTTCAGCACGACTCCCACAGCCTTTACTTCTTTTCCTTTACTCTCCGGCTCCACAGTTACTCATCCCCAGATCCTTTACCCCAGTTCTTCGGCTTCTAGCGACTATCCTCAACACTACTCCCTCACGCCAGTAGCCTCCCACAGCTTTTCTGCGTACGCCTTGCGATTCAGGATAGCAGCTGGGTTATTTGGAGCTGACGCGTACGAAGCACATTTTTAGATGATCAAAGCAAAATTAAAAAGAGTGGTAAACTGTATGAACTGCTTTTTTCAAATATGGGAAATAAAAACATCTACGGAATCTCAATCAAAATGTAATGAAAAATGAAAAGGACTAATCTAAGGCATATTTCTAGCTTAACCATAGTCCAAGTATCTCCAAGCAAAACCCTTCACATCAAACACCTCAGGTTCCTTATTTATATAACACATGGATAGCAAAGGACTTTAACATTTATTTTTTATTGACCAGAACCTCTGTTAGCATAATACAGTAGCTTTTATTGGCTTTAAGTTTATACTATGAAAAATTCTAGACCATAAATTTTATTTTATTAAGAGTTTCAGGTGAATTAAAAGAATAAAATATAATTTCCAAGGGTCTTACCAAACAAGATCCTTGTTACCAACCAAACATAGTTGCTACATTTTAGGTATGACAATGGCAGATTCTGCATTAAAAAGATGCACTATACAAAAGCTGCCATTAAAAATAAACTTTTAGGGGGTTGTTTTTTTTTTTCCTTGCAGTCAAATGCAACCATTGAACTGTTTGAAATGCAGTGAGAAGAAGCAAGTATCCCTGATTCAGGGTCCAGTTTGTTAGTTCTCAAAAGAATGTGCGTGAATTAAATCCTATCTAGTCCCAATCGAAGGGTCCCAAGTATTCACTGACTGGTGACAGATGGGCAGTGTTATAACAGAGGGATTCAGAACAAGGTGGAATCCAAAGCAGTGGCTGGCTGATTTGCCTTGCAATGCTTCACTAACACATAATAGGTCTTTAATTAAATCTTTTAAATGCACAGCATCATCCCTATAGAAACGCATGTGACAATAAAAAAAAAAAGACGGTATTACCAAGACGGATATGGTTAACAAGGGTGTTCAATTTAGATGACAGTCAGCCTGAGGCAACATTTTACAAGAGATCATTGATTCTGATCCATTTTCTGGCATCTCTACCCAGCCACTGTTGAACTACAGATTAAAAATGTTGGCTTATGGAGAAGTTCAACAGTATCATAAAGTGAAATCATTGCATATAGTGAAGTTTCCAAAGAAAAGAATTAAAATTTTGATTAGCAAAGACAGAAAAGTCTGTGCAACTTTGGTGTTAATCTAAATCATGAATGATGTAAACCCCAGTATGGTACAAATAAAAAGATTTAAAAGGTTTTTTTTTTTTTTTGGCTAGTCAAATTATGCAGCTTCTATACCTTGAATTCAAAATTTTAGTATGAGAGCTATCCATATACAGAGTAAGCTGATCAGCAAGAAACATTTCACCCTGCTATAATCAGTAAGCTGCTTTCAGTAGCCAACTGAGGCAATGGAACTCGAGCTGACCTTTTTTTTTCTGCTGTTTTCCTCTCTGATTCATCCGATATAATTAATTTAGAAGCCCAAAGCAGAATTACAGAGAAAAGCTCAATCTGGTTAGCATTGTTAGGATCAAACCTTTAGCACCTGATAGTTCAAGACCTAAGGAGGGAAACATTATCATTAAAATGGCATAAGCTGAGCCAGCACACCTGTTCTGCGGCCATCTGTTGCAAAAGAATCACCATCTCTTCAAAGCTATTCCACAAAGATGTTTTCCAATGCTGATTTCTATCACATTACTGTAACGACACCTGAAGTTTTATTTGTACACATAGATACATTCTGATACAAATTATTTTTGCTCTCTATCCTTCCTTTCTTCTCTTCCCAGTCAAACTAGTTGTTCCAATGTGACTTTGACCTAGTCAGCAGTTCTGGGAGTATTATTCCTCGAGTGCAGTATCGAGCCATCATCTAGTAAAACACTACCATGAGACTGAAACTAACACACAAATTCCCAGAGTTATTTTAAAATACAAATTAACTTGAATATTAACAACAGCATCCCTACTGAACCATGATCTTAGCAAGGACTACAGAACGCATACAAGTTGATGGATGAATACTTGAGCTATTGGTCTGGACCACACTCCTGTAATTACATAGGTCCTCAAGCAAGCTGAGCAGCTCAAACAAAGAAGGAATGAAAGGAACATAAAATGGCAACAGGAACGGAAAAAATTCCATATCAGCAGTTACTAAATAGGCTAAAACTTTTCAGCCTAGAAGGCAGATGACTAGATAGTAGAAAGGTGTTCTGGCAGAGGCCAGAAGCATGACTGGCATAGAGAAAGTGATTAAGGAATTATTCTTCACTCCCTATACTCCTGTTTTTCATGCAAGAATAGAGGGCATCAAATTAAATCATACAGAATGT